CATCTATAACAATGGGCTCGCCCAGGTTTTCATGGTTTCTCGCCCAGGAACAATGTTTTCATGGGGCACATTAGGACCCATAATCCTCATAGAACAATCCCTGACGTCTGTAAGCTACTTGAACATAGTTGCAGACCAGGTTCACCCATTCATTGCAACAGTTTTTCCAGCGGGGAATGGTGTTTACCATCAGGATAATGCACCATGTCATAAGGGTCGAATCGTCGAGGAACATTCCAGTGACTTTTAAGTCATGTCTCGGCCTCCAAATTCACCTGACCTTAATCAAATAGAGCATTTGTGGTCCTACTTGGAAAATCCAATTCGTGCAGCCACGCTACCTCCTCGCAATGTGAGGGAATTGCCGGACCAGTTGGTGAGCGCTTGGTACCAGATACCACAGACTACCTATCACCACCTAGTGGAATCCATGCCACTATGCGGGTGTTAGCAGTTTTGAGGGCTAAAGGTGGCCCTACATGTTATTAGCAGGGTGGTCATAATGTAATGGCTCTTCGGTGTATATATATATATATATAATAACTTTTTTGCATTTTTTACTTACGTGCGATAGTAAGAACTATGGTTTTGAAAACCAGAATTTCCGTAAAACCATTACTGACTGAGAAATTAGGAAATTAACGGTTTAAATACGGTATATTTTGGTTTTGTTACCAAAGGTGTTTTGATTTTGATTATCAGAAATATTATTACCACACAGTACGGTAATCGTATAAGAAATTTTTTTTTCTTCATGCACAACTTATAAGGACATAGCACAACTTATAAGGACATACTCAGCGACGTAGCGTCTGAAAAAGCAAACGTTATTTTATGAAGATCCTCATGTTGAGCGATAAAGTGTGATGTTATTGTTCTGGAAAATGTTACGAACGTTTCTTTGCTATTTTATAATACCTTTTGTCTTGAAAGATATAATGTGATACTATTTTTCTTTACAATAATAGCTTAATTATTATACCTCTATTTTGCTTTTCATACATTAAGAAAATGTAACTAATAAACTATTCACAATTCTCCAGTGAATGTTGGAGGACAATTAAAAATTGCGAAAGAAATGAAAATATCAGAACAGTTCTTAACTGCAATTATGAACTAGAAAAGCTCAAGAAAACACTTTGTCATAAAATGTAAGCGGATTATCGAAACTACAATTAAAAAAAATGCTTACCAGGCCTGTGAAGGACTTTTTGAGGTAAACCTCACCAGTATCCTTGTTGATTTGGAAATAATCCGATCCATCAACATACTTTGCGGGTTCGATACCATATTCGATGGGATCGTTATCTTCATCACGTGTCCTTACGGTGGTGATTCGAGTACCTGTAAGAGTTAAAGCACATTTGTTTGAATATAAAAGTTGAGGATTCTGTGTTTAAGTAAAATATTTTGTAATAAATAAATTACAGGAAATAGATGATTTAAAATCAAATTTTTATGAAAGTTGTAAAAGTTTATAAGTGTAACGGATTTATTTTCAATTTAGAACAAAAAAAAAAGAAAAAACTTTTCTTTAAAAATTGTTCTTATAACTACACTGTTAGAATTTTCATTCTGAAACTGCGGTAAAATAACCGGCAGCAGTCTGTTCGCCTAATTAGCAGTAAAATTTACGGTAAAGAACGTTATTTATCTTTACGGTTTTGGAACCAAATACAACTAGTATGATTAAAAACCGTGAATGCAAAACTTTACGGTTTTCAACTATTTACAACTAACATGCTTTCAAAACCGAAAAAAAGCTATTTGGCTAGACTCAGTGCTGCCATTTATGAGTAAAAAAATTTATCATGTTCTAATAGTCCAGGGTTACAAATTGGGGAATGCAACAGACTAGAAACTCTTTATGTGTTGAAGAAAATGGTGGAAATAGTGTGGTGTCAACACTGGGAATCGAATCCCCGTTTTGTCGGTCAAGAGATTGATATATTAGCCTTCTCGGCTATTCTCTATGGCAGCTACAAGGAGCTAAGTAGCTTTATTAGGTGAGCCTAGTTGGCGCGATAAAATTCTGGTTTTTTAACCGTACTAGATGAAAGTAGTCAATAAACGGTTTTTCTCACTGTTAACAGTTTGAATACTGTCTATTTTTTGTGGCTATTTGACTGTTTTGTTTGAATATGGTGAAATAAAAATTAAATAAATTGTTATTTAATCATTTCTTTTCTAACAGTGTAATATATGTAAAGAAAAGGTGGCATGAAGCCAAAATTATTTATATAACTAGTTTGGTAGAAACCAAATGAGTTATTTTTTTTTTGTAAAATCATCAAAATGAAATCGAGCACTATAACTATATTTATTTTATTTCACGTTATTGCACATTACATATTACACATTATTAAGGCTACATGGGAAATATATTTGTTCAAAATACGTAAACATAAAAAAGATAATGGTAACAGATAAGAATTTTTATCGTATCAGCCCTGGAAAGTATCAACCAATAGAAAAGAAAAACTATTTGAAAAATATTTATAGAAGAATTTTATGAGTTCAATTACTTTTAAAAATTACACATTCTCATACAACAATTTTATTTTTCCATTTCCAAATGACACCGAGTTATAAAAATAACCCGGCTACGCAAATAAATTTTTATTACAAAATTTATAAACATTTTAAATAAAGTTGGCATTTTAGTTTAAGTCATAAAATCAAATAATAATTTATCTAGCTTTATTCGCTTCACAGTTTTCCTCAGAATATATTTTATTATCGCATTCCATACTAAAATTCATCAAAACGTACTTAATGAGAGTTTTCGCCTATATGCGGATTAGAAAGAAAAAAATTTTATATCAAAATTTTTTTATAATTGTTTATGCGATTACTTTTCCCAGTTGTCTCTAACACGAACTTAAGTAAATTATAAACATAAGCTTTAAAATAGGCACACTACTTTAAGAATAAATAATTTTTAATACTTTCTAAATACTTTACACAAAAAATAGCAAAAAATTTTAGCTTTTCCTTGTTGATTTTAATACTGTAATTTATTTGCTGCAAAAAAAGAAAAAAAAATTTAACTACTGTATTTCTATTTTATTTTTCGAGATATCTTTATACCTCTGACAGAAAAAGCTTTACTTTTGAACAATGGAAATCAACAAGACAACATGGAACAAAATGTTTTTTTTTTCTCTTTCTTTTCTTTAAGAAAAAGAATGCCTGATTAAATGAATAATTCCGTGTTTAAATGAACATCAGTCTTAAAATTCCTTTGTTTGTTCTTTGACCTAAAGCTTTTGGCACTAAGTCTATAATTTGTGTATATTTTTAGCATCATATTATCCCCCAGAATGATGATATGTTGTAGAATAATGCTGATTCTGGGGAGTTATTATTATTTTTAGGCATGCACTTATGTGTTATCTTGAAAGAAAAATAAGCCAAGCCTACACCTGGCATCATAATAGAAATCCGGAGACATTTTAATCGGATCTTTTCCTTCTTCTTTTTTAGAAATTTTGAAAATTTTTGCTCCTCTCTTTTCTAACAAATTTGCTCGACCGAATTTTATTTAGTTTGAATTGATTTTTTAAGAATTTAGTAAGAAGAGAGAATTTGATCAATTGACGGAAAAGTAATTGATGCTAAAAACTAACATGTTCTTGGGTAATTTCTAATGATTTTTTTTTTAAAAAAAGGCTTGCGCTACTAATTCCAATGAAAAAATATTATATCAAATAAAAAAAATAATAACAATTTTTTGAGCGAACGATTCTATACAAAGCAAATTTTTGTAATCGTTTTCCAGCATTTAATATTAAATGTTCGTTTTAGAATGAAATTAGAGGCATTAAAAATAAATTTAAAGTAGTCATTCATAATGCATTAATTTATTTTTAATTTATATCAAATCTGGAGGTAAAGATTAAGGCAAATTTCGCCTATACTGTAACATTAGAGGACAAAACCCTTGAGTAGCTTAAACGTTAACCAAACTATAATATACTTCGGTAAAAATATTTACTTCCAGAAAGTTACTTATTTCATTCAAAAATATAAATTCAAATTAGAATACATAAATAAATAAATTCTGTAAATAATAAAAGTAATTTTTTGAGAAAACAATTCTATACAAAACTAAATTTAATAATCGTTTTCTATTCGACAATATTAAACCTTTCTTATGAATAAAATATGCGTATAACATTAGAGGACAAAACCCTTGAATAGCTTAAACGTTAACCCAACTATAATACAATCGAACTCGTTTATAACGAGCTCGGATTTAACGAGAACTCGGATTTACCGAGGGAAACGAGAATATTTGGTTGGATCAATGTTAAGTCTATGGAACAGAAGTCGCTTTTAACGAGCAAGACCCGGTTTTAGCGAGCAATATTTTTCTGTCTTGAAATCTTTTTTTGAAAATGATAAGAAATGCGCGCGAAATAAAAAAAAAAAAACCGCGAACTTAAACTTCAAAGTAAGCTAACAAACTACTATTTTAAATATGTAGATTAATGAAAAAAATAAATGTTTTGGTAAGAATCTTTTCCTTTATTTTTCTTTCCGTTTATTGCTTCTTTCCTTTAAGACTGTAGCGCAACTAAAAAATTTTTGCTGGTGGGGGGAGGGGATAGTTGTCATTAAATTAAGAAAAGTATTTAATTAAATTAATTAAAGTAAGTATTAATTAAATTTTATGTAAACTCAATAATTTGATCTCCCAACCTCCCCCCCCCTCCCTCTTCTGGCTGCACGCCTGCCTTAAGGACCCGTTTATTACGAGCACTCGGATTTAACGAGTACATGTTACGGTCCCTTTGTGCTCGTTATAAACGAGTTCGACTGTATACTTCTGTTAAAATATTTACTTCCAAAAAGTTACTTATTTCATTCAAAATTATTAATTCAAATTAGAAAATATAAATAAGTAAATTGGGTATAATATGTAAATTGGGTAAAAAACACAACTACTTCCACTTCGAAAATTTTACTAGGAATAACATTTACCATTTAGTTTAATTAATAAGCTGAGTTTTAAATATGTTTACTAAATTCATAAACTTAGATAAAACAACAAAATAAATTATTTCAAAAGGAACTAGACTAATACAATTCCAACCTGCCGAGTAGCAACTTATAACAACACACTTCGTTTAATGTTTACTTGTTGCTATAAATCAGGTTCGCAGAAAATGCTGTTTCCTAGTTAAATTTAGTAGGAATAACACGACCTGTGACGTAGGCTATAGTATACCCAATTCTGTAAATAATAAAAGTAATTTTTTGAGCAAACAATTCTATGCAAAACTAAATTTAATAATCGTTTTCTATTCGACAATATAATACCTTTCTTATGAATAAAATAAGCGCAGACACGTGGGGAAAAAAGGTAACGATTCATTTTACATTATTTCATAAAAAAATTGAACTTAATTTGGAAGCATATTTTAAACTATAAAAAAACTTCGAATTCAGATTTTTCTATACATCATCGTTATATAAGCATTAATTGAAAACTCGATACTTTTTTTTAAAAAATTTATCTTGAAAAAGTACCAAAATATTGTTCTAAACCTCTTAAGCAAAAGTTTAAATTGAATCTATGGGTTTGATTACGCACTGGTTGTAAAAATCATAGAGTTTTAAATTTAAATGATTTCAGAAATTACTCATTATTCGTTATTCACGTTTCAGAAGACGATAATTAGAAGAGGAAATATTAGGTAATCAAAGAGTAGTAATTCGAAAAGATCTATGCATTAAAAACTAAATAATGGAACAAGAAGGTGAAATGCAGTCTGCAAGTCAGTCACACTAACTACAACAGGTTTTCTGTTCTGTGGATTTCAGAAGGAAATTCCAATTTATTGCTCGATACTCTCAAAAATTTAACGATTAAATCATATCACGTACCATGTTGTGACTTTGTCGTTTGGAACCTTTTGATTTGTGAGTTAAGACTCTTTTTTTTTTAAAGTTTAGGCAGTTTTTGACTGTGACCCTTTCAACTCAAAAGATTCTCTATAAAACGAGATTTTGCACTCACAGCTGGCAAAACATTTGGAAAAAAAAGGAAGAAAAAAGAAAATTTATCTTCAATTTCAAAAATTGATAAGAATTGGTGAATTTTTTAAAAAGAAAATCCTCACGTTCCCACATTTTATCTTACTCTATTGTACACGTATTTCGCAATAAAACCGATTTACAACGGCCTATGCCAGAAATCGGCAGTAAATATTCTGAAGAAATTCAGTTGAGGGAAAAAGGCCTTAATTAAATGCTTACAAGAAAGTTACAAAGTTTAAGAACAAGCGTAATTATGTCTATAAATCAAAGGAATAAAATTGATTTAGTATCGCTTCCAG